AACCGTAGGAGCAAGGAAAATTCATCCTGCAACCAGAATTACTGAGATGGGGGTATCTACCAGTTTCAACTGGCATTATGAGGAGAATCCAGTAGTGGCTGGTCCAACTCCCCCCCACATCCAACCTAAGAGAAAGAAGGAGAAAGGGTTCCCAGCTTTACCCTCTTTTCAAGAGATTATAGAAAGAAATAATGTTAGTATATGTATGCTACACTTCCAAGGAAGCCTCTACAGTCCACCACCGAGCATCTAGGTATTGGAAAGTGGTAAGGACTCCCAAACACATACCAATTATGTAATGAAGACACAAGGAGATGCCCCTGGAAAACAAAAAATAACAGAAAAATTAAACTTACCCAAGGCAGAGTTGAACCAAGAGCATGGAGAATCACAACTGGAGGGAAATAATATCCACAAGAGAAGGATACAGCCATATAAAGCAAGTAATGAGACACGATCAAGAAAGTGATCTAGGAAGGAAAGGGAAGAGTAAACCAACTGAATAAGCTGGTGAATCCAAACAGTAATGGTGATGGGGGGAAAGGTCATGAGACATCAAAAAGCTCCATGAAAGAAGCAAACAAGAACATGAACCATGAAAGCAAGCTGTCTGAGTAGCATAGCATCACAGAGTCTGCACAAGAAACACACAGGAACAATTATGGGAAAGGCATTATGGGATCTTGGCATTGCCTTAACTCAACTGTAAGAACAGGGAATGCTGTAACCAGTATAATGGGCAAAATCAGAACTCACTCAAGCATAAATGCAGGGTAAAGACATTCTGCATCCAGAATTATGAGGAGGATAAACAGCATTTGCCCAACGTAGGAACACAGCATGGACATCCCATTGGTGGTATTACAAGGCAGATGAAGTCTCTCAAACCCAATTGTAGAAGCAGGAAAAACATTTTTCAACTGGAATTAACTAGAAGAGAGGCATCAACTGCACACAACTGTAGGAAGGGGCTGTTGTCATCCTGAACCCAGAATAACCAGTAGGATCCCACATAGGCTGGCCCCAAATAGTATTTGATCATTGTTTATTGAGTGTGATCCGCCCAGGCAGAAAACATCTGGGGGAAGCACCAGTAGAGAACCAGCTTCACCCTCTTTTCCTGTGTGGAGAAATGAGCATAATTATAGTAACACTCAGGAGAAAGCCTCCATTGTCCACCACTCCAGCAACTGCAAACTGAGAGTGGTAAAGACTCTCATTCTTTACTTGAAAAAAAAGGGGGATAAAAAGGCAGTGGAGAGTCTGCAGATATGTCACACAGGAGACAGTGCAATGAGTGACTGTGTTTCCCTATTTTGAAAAGCAGACCAAACCCAATTACAAAAACAAAGGGTCAGCTGGAATGGGCAGAAATCCCCTTCTGCTTTACTAATGAAGTCCTTGAGTGATATTATATAATTACTGTGTTTAGTGCAGGTTTGAGACGAAGTACATCTAACCATGCAACATCCGCTACAACGTGGGATCCATAAAGAAGATGCTAGGATAAGGAAAGTTGAAAATATAACATAGATGAAAGGAAGCAATAAGGCTTACCCCAGGCAAAGGCAAATGTACATGTGTAGAATTGCCAAGGGAGGAAGAAGATATCTACCAGGAGAAGTCACTGCCAGAACTAGCTCATAATGAGTGACAAAAGTATTGGGAGTACTTCACATTTCAGCCGAATGATCTCCTTCAAAGGACAACAAGGAGAAGCAGTTAAAGACATAGTAATGTGACAAATTTGATGTAAAGAGACATTTTGGAGACAGCAACCTTCCATGGAGAAGTCCGGATAAGCCAGCTGGATGAGTTGACTAACCTAACAAGTGAGAGTAACATGGTTACAGAACATTGGAAACTAATAGGTTCCAAGGAATAGGGAGTCAGTCAAAAGGAGGCAGAATGTACAACATAACACCTGAAGGAACAAACAGATAAGGAAGCCTATCTGGATCAGAATGAAAATACAGGTGGGAAATGGAAGGTAGGGAAATAGGTGTGAAAGCCAGAACACAGTCACTGACAACATAGGTCCCAGGGAGAAAGGACCGAGGTCAGAATAGAGGAACGGTAAGGGTGTGGGTAAAATTAATGGTATAAAAATCTGAACAATGACAACCAAAGTGAAACTTGAATGATTTCTCCTTCAGAAACAATGTCACGTTGAAAAGAAGAAAACACCAGCTGAAAGTAAGATTCTATCTCCCTGTGAACCAAAGCATGTACTTCCTCAGCAGATAAAGTTGTCCCAGTGTCCTGAGAAGTTGTGCTATGTGCAAATCAAATAAACTTCGTCAGAAACAGCAACAAAAACAAACCACAAACAAAAACTGTAGTCACACTCAGAAAATTTAAATACACATATAAACTGTGTCATGTCAATCGAGAAAGTAGGGGTTAAAGAGGAATAGCAGATGGAGCTAATTGCATTGGTGACATAATGAAAGGTAGAATGAAAGCATACACATTAAAAAAAATGTAATCAATATTTAACACTGAAATTAAGTGACAAACATCTCTGGCTCATATGGTGCTAAACAAAAAAGTGAGGTACATGAAATATAACACAGAGGAAGCCAGCTGTTCCAGAAGTGTGTCGTGCTCCTATTGGTGGAGGGTCATTGTATGTACTATGCATGCTAAATGAGCAGCTTGAATATATATGCTAGTGAGTCAAGTGAGAATAAATTTTTTAATGTATTAGAGGGCAGATGAAGATTGGGGAAACCTTTTGTGTGTGAAAAGGTATGTATTGTATTGGAAAAGTTATTAAGAACTTTTGTCAATCATTTATTGTATGTGAAAAACATAAGACTAGTCCACATTTGAAGAACACACTCTTACAAAGAATGTCAAGTTTAAATGTTCCATTTCATGTCAAAGCTATGGATTATTAAGATTAAAACGATAGTTGTACAAGTTTTCAAAAAAATGTATTAAAGAAATAAAGTTAACATTTAATAATACATAATAAATTTAAAATGGATATTTTGTGACCTTCACAGATGTTGTATCTAGGGGGGGGGGGGGGGGGAGAGCAGGTTCCCTTATTACATTTAGTTTATAGAATCAACACGAATGAGTCTACTATGGAGGGTCCCTTCTTTTTCTTACATGGCAGATATATAATGTTGCTAATGCAAAAGATATTAGCCTCAAGAAAAGTTAGTTATGTATTAGATTAGGACCATAAAGCAGAAATGATGCAATCAGCATTCAAAATAGCAAATGAGCACTTAACTAAAAATGCCAAAATTTTGTGAAACAGGCCAATAAAAAGCAAAAGTTAGTGATCTTTAGCTAAAATACAAAGTATTGTTACCTACTCCCATTGTTTAATAACAAAGCACTAAGAAATTACCTAAATTATGGAAAGGCCTATTTAGAGTAGTGAAACACACAAGTCCTTATGAATTTTGAAATACAAGAAATATAAGGTTAAACAGAAACGATACAGTCAATAGATTAAACAAAAGTTACAGAAACTGAGCTATATGAGTATGAAAAGTTACACAAAAAGTATGAATTTGTTAAAACAAGCCCTAAAGTAGAAAATGAAGATAAATGTAAAACAGTAATGATTAGGTAGCATTACAAGATAAATACATTAAATATGAGATGTTGAAGTAGCTGTTGACACAAAGGCCATAGTGATATATTCAAGCCAGGCTAACAAACAGAGAGTAATGTCAAGGAATGTAGTTGTAAAATATTTCATAGATGTAGGAGTTGAAGTAATTGATAATGAATATAAATGAAAAGTAAAAGTGGTGTTGTTTACTTTAGGAAGAAATAAACTGAATGTAAAGAGAGGAGACAGTATTGCACAATTAAAATGTGAAAAGACACTTTGCTCTCAAGATCATGCAACAAAAAATGTACTGATAAAGTTAACTTTTGAAAAAGTTTAGTTTGAGAGGAAAAACAAATAATTAACTATTAGTAGTTATTATGCTAAATGAACAGTATTTTATTTCAAATATCAAAATTGCTGTCTATGTATACGGAGGACAGTGTGGGATAGCAGCTATCATGAATTCTTGTGGAAATTCCATGAACAATTTATTAGCTATATTATGCATCATCCCACACCAGAAAGAACTGGGTTAATCCATTAACAAAAAACCCTAGTGTATGATAACAAACAATTCTTTATTAGATTGGTTAGCCATGAGTTAGAAATGTTAGCCAAATCCTTGTTTCAGCACTCAACCTGAACTAGCAGTGCTTTACACTATGAATCAACATTCAGTTCTATCATAAGTTATCTTTCTATGAATTAATAATATGTAAAGACTGAACTTAAGTAAAGTAATAATAAGTAAAAATAGTAAAGTTAATTTCTGAGGAAATCTTTTGTAGTATAGGTAAGATCTAGAAATGCTAACCAAGACCCTGAAAAAAATAAAGGACAGTATAGCAAATCTTAAAATGCCAGTTTTGTAAATATAATGTACCTAGTCAGTAAACTATTATTTTAATTATTATTATTGGTGTAAAGAAATAAATAAAATGAATGTTTTCTTCTGTGAAATCTGACTGCCTTCTATTTTTCTCATATAAACTTCATTGAGTTAACAAGCCATAAAATTAACAAATGCATATTCCTGGTTACTCACACATGTTAAAGTTTAATATAAGCCCAAGTTTACTTTTTAGTTTTGGATGGAAGCATACAGTATAGTCAACTTCACAGTAGAAAGAAACCTGTCAAATTGAAAGGGCTGTATTATAAAGTCACTGTATATAATTTTGTGAGAAAAGTATGCATACTTTACTGTATCATAAACTGCATTCCAGATAAAATGTTATTCTGATGCATTAAAAAATACCATATATTAAATATAGTCAATTATCAAAATAGCTGATTATTATTAATATTATAATTAATCTCTGACAGTACAGTGAAACATGTAGATACCTTAGTGAAAAATATAAAATTAGCACATTTCTAAATAGAACAGACTGACAAATGTCTAGATATAAGTGGCTACCTTTCTGCTCTGAGCAGGTGAATGTTGAGGAGATGGTGGCAGACTTTTAGACAGGGGTGCATGCTGTTCTGTTGGAGGAGCGAGATTATGAACAGATCCACTTCTAGGCAAAGTTGTCTTTGTCTGTGTCAGACTGGATAATAAATTCTGAAGCTTTCTTCTCCTAACCTGTTAGAGTAAATAAAATACTCTAATGTTTAATCATTATAAATAAAGACAATTTACTTTTAAAAAAGTAGAATTTTAATGTAACACAGTCTTTACTATAATAATACCTTTAATAAAATGTTTTGAAGCATGAATAATTAAAACAAATATAGAGGTTAATCTAAAAAAAAAGTAATTAAATGTTTTTTATATGTTCGGATATTTGGTGTAAAATTCTTATCGATGCTGTAAGTGTAACTACCAGTTTAGATTTTTTGGCTGCACCTTTTTTTTCACACTTAAGGCATTTTTGATTAGATATCATGACTTTTTGTTAATACACACCAACAAACTACAGCAAGTAAGAAAGTGACACTCGATATTAAACCACATTAGCTTTAGGATTGCAACCCTGTTATTCGGAACCTATACTTTACAGTACCAACCAGATTCTTTAAAATATACAGTAGTAGAAATGTTAGACTGATAGCTCATGAGACGTTTTGGATAGGCATGCACAAAATATTTTGTTAAATTTCAGCAGTTCTTGTTGAATAACTTTGCACACGTGGCTTATATTTACACCAAATGAGACTCCTAGTTGTAGATTGTAAAGAATGTACCAAATTTGAAAAACAATCCATAAAAGTGTGTTTTTCTATCAAATAAAGTTTCCATACTTTTGGTGCAATGAAAAAAAAGGAAGAAACTCAATCGAAATTAGAGATGTTATATCTCAGTTATTTCTTAATGGATTGCCTTGAAATATGGCATGACACATTACCGTGTGCCTTGGTTTTGCATATTTATATAAAATACAATTGTTAATACTTTAATAGGTCTGGCTTATCCATTTCTCCTTTTTTTTTGTTTGCTTTGTGGGACAGAGAAGGGGCAAGTAGATTTTCTAGGGTTTTGTCCCTTACATGAAGTTTTTCAAAAATTCCATATCCCTGTTTGTTTTTATGATACGAATAAGATATTATAGAACAAATAAATACAATAATATACTACTACACATAGCATCAAACCATAACATTCAGTCCTCATTTAGAAATATCCTGTAAAAAGACACAAACTAAGAATATCAGGGTGTGATTCTATATGTATTAGTAAATTAAGATGAGTTAAAAGCATTATGTGACAATGTTAGATTCTGTACACGCATACTAAACAAACTCTCAAAAAAAAAGTTTATAAATTGAAGCAACTTGTGTTAGACTTTTGTTTTACATGACATCTACAACTTCCTATAGTTTACTATTTGGCTTGGGTAGAGAATAATTAAGTTTGGTGTCAAAATTTCAAACTTTATTACTGACTCAGTGGATTACACTGACCATGTGACTACTCTGAAATCAAAATGATTTTCATTATCAAGATTAAAAATACTTTTCTTCATCTGAAAATTTATAAACTTCATAATCTGTAAAACCTCCTGAACATATATCAAAAGTTTTTTCTCAGAAAAACTATATATTTTATCTATATGAGATCAGTCAATAAGACCAACTTCATAACCACCATAAAGCTTTAAAGGTTAAAAACTGTGAAATAAAGTAAGTAGTACTGTTTTATCCTTTTAAGTATTGACCATGAAGTTCCAATATGCTTTTCTTGAGATTTTTTACTTCTAACTGTTTCATATCTATTTCCTATGTATAACTTAATGACTACAGTTGAAGGAGGAACCTGCAAAACATAAAGCAATGAATGAATCACCACTCCTGCCATTAAACTATTTATGTGTCACCATCAATAGCAGATGAGCTCATATAGTGTAATTACTAGAACTTTTCCAGAGTTTATCATTGGCTTGTTTATAGTGCAGTGGTTGTAATGAGATTTCTCTAAAGTAATAAAAGTGTGAGAAAATGTTTTTGATATGGATTTTTACAAAGACCAGGCCAATCCAGTAAACTTAGTAGATGTGAGACAGATTTATTATTCTATATTTATTTTAATATCAATGTTTGTTTAAATTTATATTCAGAAATGTACATAACGTATACTGTTAAATATGTATTGTGAAACTCCTGCCTATTCTATAAAGTTGTAGAAGATTCTCGAGTGTAAGAATCAACAATATACGTGTGTACGCAAATGCTAGTGTAGCTTTGTTTTGTTACGTAATCAGAATTTTCGAGAAACTCTCCACATGCCTATAAATATAATCAATGAGACACGCCAAAAAACAGTATCTACTATTGGATTGCTGTAATTGGTATGCTATAAACTCTGTAAGCTATAACTGTGATTGTTATAATGCTTATTAATCAGGACACTTCAGATATTTGACCAGGAACATTTATAAATTTTGAACATTACAAACCACTTAACTTCAGTGGATTCACATCAGACATTAGTACTTTTACGAAAACATTACCTCATGTAACCAGTAGAAAAAAATCGGTATGTGATCAGTGAGGAGCTAGCTAGCTCCCTAGTAAGTATCTACATTAACTCGAAATTAATTCACTCATTGTGAACCCTTGATAAGATATCAAGGAAGTTCCAGACTAGAAAAAAAGACTGTATTGCTTGCAAGTTTGTGGAACTTTTGTTTATAAATTATTGTTTGTAGTAGCTGTTTGTAATAACTGTTATTGTAAATTGTATTACTGTTTGTGTGTTAAAATATATTCATATTAAAAAAAAAGAAAACTGTGTGTATCAATATTGTTGGCAAATATCATAAATTGGATATATATATATATATATATATATATCGGCATTTATTTAACTACTAAATCCAAAGTACAATTTAACTCAGTTGTAGAGTATTTGAAATTGTGATACATAACAGATGTTAGTTAACCTTCAGGGGTGGTTGGAATTTAGCGGTATAATTGCACAAAATGTGTATGTGCTTATAAATATGAAATATGTTTTATTACTATTTACTCATAAATGTTCAATTTTTAGTTATTCTTCTTAAAACATAGAACAATAAGTAAAAATTGTATAGAAAAATTGTATAGAACGAACGATGTTATGATGTTGATTTGTACCTGCTGGTCATACTTGATTAAGCCTTGTTTACTCTCTGGAGGGGAGGGGAAGACAAGTTAATTTTTGTAGATTTCAAAGATGTATTTCAAAAAAACAAAATATTATTAAATGACTACGCTTGTATACATAAAACCATTGTGATTTATTTGGCTTTCTAACTTAGGTATATGTAGGTTAAAAAAAATCTAATTTCTGTTCAGAGCAACAAGTTAGTCAACAGAATTCAAAATTCCCATCAAATTAAAAGTTTCCCCTTCAAGCCAATTTCAAACAACTATCAGATTTATGTACTTTGTAATGTGCTCTTTCTATTGGTAATAAACATGTACTTAAGGTAGGCATGAGTAGACAAGAGGTCTCAAAAGAATGGAGTAGTGGGTGGGACTACCCTGGTAGATTTGCAAAATATATTGATATCTTAGCAAATCAAAAAGGTGGGAGGTCTTATTTTATATGCTAGCTTGTAAATTTCTGAAAATCGAGTCTCTAATTAAGTAACCATAATAAAATATAAAGTGTGCAATGAAACCAGAAAAAAGACATGCATTATGATATACAAAAACATATTTCACATTTTTTAAAACATTTTCTTTCAAATTAAGAAATTAAAACACACAATAATATTAACGTTTGAATTATAAACTACATCATGATGCCAATTTTATTGACATAAGATTATAATACAGTTGTTTAATTAAATTTTGAAAATAGCTTTTTAAAATGTGGTGACATACACATTTTGATTTGTCCACATGGAGAAGGTTAACCAAATGACTATGAAGTTTAAAAGTTAGCTTAAACCCTGAGTATTGCATTATTTAAATGGAAAAAATAATGGAGTTTGGAATAGTTCATACTTTATAACAGTCTAGGTAAAATTAAATGCATAAGTATTGTTAGATATACATAACTATTTTAATTTAAGTATAGTGCAAGTATTAAAACTAATTATGTTTAGAAGCATTAGTTTATCACAGGTTTGTTTACATAACCGTGTACGAATCATATGTTGTATAGTTCCATCGTTGTGATTTGGCATTTGTATTAATGCATCATGTTACTAGAACATTCTAAGTTTTTCTCATTGTTTTGATTGAGTATTGTTACATCATAATATCCCATAGTGCATAGCAAGTTCTAGGACTCAGTTGAGCTATTTATAGATACGCTCCAAAATGTAGTTGAAAGAAGTTAAGTGAAAGAAAACAAATTTAGTGAGAGATACAGTCAAGCTGATTTAGACTGTGTTTGTAAATTTAGCCATAAAAAGCTTACAGTGGCACTTTTTTTTAAAAAGTGAAATTATTTCAGATTGTATTGTAACAACAGAGTAGAGAATAATATTTTTTCTTGTCAATTGTGTTCTAAGGTAACTGAACCAGCCTGTGTGGTCTTTGATAAAAAGAGACAATTACTTAAAGTTCTAGATACAACTGTGGTGATTAACTGTGTAGTGAATATCTCTATATATATACATTTGACTTGTTTTAATATGTTATTTTAAAAGAAGTGCATTGTGTGCTCTTTGTTTATTGTTGAAATTTATTGCAAACAAGTCACAGACACCTACAGTAAAGTATTCAGCCCACATATACAATAAAAATCTGGCATTTGGTGAGCCAGCCAGGATTATACAGTAGAAGAAGTAGAAATAAGCCTATATATACACAACTGTTGTGGTGATGAAAATATTGTAGACATCAAAACCACACTATATAACAATGTTGACTGACTTTGGTAAGCAGACAGACGTGAGTGACTTTGACTCAAAGACGGTGATCTATGAGAGTTTGTTAAACAACAACAGAAGCTACAGAAAGAGAGAGAAGAAAGGGAAAAATGGCAGAAAGAAGAAAGGAAAAGATGGCAGAAAGAAGAAAGGAGAGACTGGAAATAGAGATAATAAGAGCACAAGGAGAGAAAGCAGAAAGGAAAAAAAGGCAGAAAGAAGAAAGGAAAAAAAGGCAGAATGAAGAAAGGAGAAACTGGAAATAGAGATAATAAGAGCA